ACTTTTTCGTTTTTGTTTCAAGCTTCTAACTATGGCCGTTCATCAGTTTTCCAGAAAACTCGGTTTTTCATTGTGTCACATTACGATCACTCTTAAATCTCATCCGATCGAGTTAAAGATTTTACTAGAGGTACTCAAGGTCATAGCGAAGACGTTTAATTTTGGAATTTTACTTTAGACCTTTCTTTATCGAATTATAGGAAAATTACCGAAAAACTTTTCAAAAACCAAGTTTTTAAATTTTAGAATCCGTATAACTCGGTAAAGAAAGGTCTAAAGTAAAATTCCAAAATTAAACCTCTTCGCCATGATCTTGAGTACCTCTAGTAAAATTTTTAACTCGATCGGATGAGATTTAAGAGTGATCGTAATGTGACACAATGAAAAACCGAGTTTTCTGGAAAACTGATGAACGGCCATAGTTAGAAGCTTGAAACAAAAACGAAAAAGTGTTCCATTGAGTTTCCAGTCAGTTCTAAAACTATGAAGTCTTAGTGAGTTTTAGTTTCTATTTCACAGCCTTTCTACGGAAAGCACAAAATGAGGGGAGGACCCTTAATAACTAAAAAATCTGTCGTGTGTAAAACGACAATGTAGAAAGTTTATAAGAATAAATCGAAAGAATTCTTACGTGTTTAGTCAGTTGTTTGCTCATCGATCACGAACAACACAAGGCAGCAGTTTGAAACTATAACTTACTGGTATTAATATCTACTCTCTAAAAAAAAGTCGTATTCTCGGAAACCGAAAGAAAACGGTTTTCGAGCATCCGGAAACCAAAATGGGTTTCCCGCTAGCTCTCGAAAACTGAGATGAGTTTCTGAGCTAATCTCGGAAACCCATCAAAAGGTTTTTAAAAGTTCAAATAGGTTTCGGAACCTTCGGAAACTTTTATCCGTTTCCTATAGTTTCATTTTCGGAAACCTTTTAAGCGTTTCCCAGAATTTTGTAAGGTTTCCGAGAGTTTGGAAACTCTTAGAGGATTTCCGAAAATGAAACTATAGGAAACGGATAAAAGTTTCCGAAGGTTCGGAAACCTATCTGAACTTTTGGAAACCCTTTGATGAGCTTCCGAAATAAGACTGGAAACTCATCTCAGTTTTCGAGAGCTTGTGGGAAACCCATTTTGGTTTCCGGATGCTCGAAAACCCTTTTCTATCGGTTTCCAAGGATTTGATTTTTTTTTAGAGAGTAGAAAAATAAATATGTGAAGTTCATATATTTGAAATTATTAATTGTTTTGGATGAAGATAATTACGTCAAAACGAAGAGAAAACTGAATCTAAAACTAATCACGAGTTATTCAAAAACAACGATATTAACCTTTTTCTATTTAATACTATGCCAGACAGAAAAAAGATCGATTGAATAAAATTAATTTGTTTAGTGTGGCTAAACAGTAGACAAAAATGAAGGATAGAAAACTAACTTACTTTATATCGTAGCCCTAGTTCTTCGTTCAAATATGACTGAATGCAAATTTATCATGATTTCTGTTTGATATAATTGCTAATATCATTCCATAGTAAATTCTATAAAAACAGTTTCCATCGTGGGAGATGCAAACATTCCTATCTTATTCCCATTTCAATATAGCGACTACATTTTATTTGCTATTCTTTTTTAGCTGAAGCCGAACGTGAAGTATTGACATTAGCACCTCATTTTGAGCCAAAATCATTGCCAGAATCATTTGATTCGAAAATAGCTCGTTTAACAGCATCATCATTTGATGATATTACATGGTTACATTTATTAAGTAAGTAGCTGTTACAATTCTTATCATAGTGTAATATATTCAAAATTTAGATTATCAAAATGCAATTTCAAAACGAATTGATAATCGCCAATTATTATCATTTGATTCGGATTGTGTTGGTCGAACAAATCTCTATTTTCTTCATCTATTACCTCGTCTTGTACAAACAAATAAATGTCTTTCCGAATTACCTTTATACTCGGAAAATTGTCTCGGACTATATCCATCTGAGCAATATTCTCAATCAATTCCAACATTATCTCAAGGAACAAATGAACCTCGTACAAGTATACGGTTGGTATCAAGTAAAACATCGAGAAGTCAAACAACACAAGGTACAGCTGCATCGTCTTCAGCAACAATGACAGATGAAGATTTTTCACAATGTCCAAATATGAACATGAATTTATTTAAACGAGAACTACCTACTGATTCTACATCATTAATGAGTTTAGCTTGGTATTCAACAAATTCAATTAATATTAATAGCGATGTAACCACAAAAGAAAAGCCGTTTATTTACGCCTTTTATACAATAAAAACTGATGAGAAAATCAATAATGAACCAACAAATGTTCTATATGTACCATTATTCAAATTATTAGATCTTCACAAGAGGTAATAAAATAAAACTACGCTACTTTTATACACAAAAAACAATTTCGTTTAGATATCTTCCAATTGCACAAGTTGCTGAAACACATCCAAAACAAATTTCTCAGGTAAATTGCACTAAAAATAATATTCGTTTTTCGACGCATAATGTTTTTCCATCGCTTAAAATAGGAAAATGTTCAAACGTTTCTCAATGAACTGTCTGGTTATATCAATAGTAAAGAAAAGAAAAGTAGTGTTATACCTGAAGGGGTTGCGTTAAAACAACCGATGTCTAAAGTAAGTTAATTAGATTCAATTCACTAGTAAGTGACATAGTCGCTAACGTGACATAGAACACATAACTGAAAGATTGTCTCTTCTTTGAGCGTAAGAAGAAAACAGTGAAACATTAGACTTTGACTTAAAACTATTTTTTGAAACTAGTACTTTTTCTAGATAAAGCTTTTAAATCGGTAACATGGGCAACGTTTTTCTCTCCAATTAAAGGAGATTAGTTTAATGGTCCTCGTTGCGCTACTGTCTCTTCGTATTTTAAGTTTAACACAAAAAATACCGCTTATTTCTCTATTATTTAATAATCGATGTGAGTTGCTGAAGTATATGCTTCATGAAACATGAGAAATCGCTATGGCTAACTTTTACCCAAGTTAATTTGATCATTTCAGATTCCTACAATTAATGATTCACAAGCATTTGTTCAATTAGAAAGTTTTCTAAATGCAAAATTTGGCTCTCAAACATCAAACGTGCAATTACGCGATTGGTTTTCAATGATGTTTCGACTCTCATCAAATAATTTATTTCAAATTCAAGATTAGACGTAAATTATGTTGAATAGGTATATTTCATTTCTAAAAGATTTAAAAGTCAAAATAATATTTCTATGTTTTTTCTTAAAACGATGTATGTTTTGTAAATTTTTTACCTATTTTTGTAATACATCTCCGTAAAACAGTAAAAGTTTTCACGCAGAATAATAATAGAACTTTCTTCTGCTTTAATGACGCTGGATATATTTTCTCCTTGTACATGAAAACGGATTTTGAGAGAGGGAACCAAGAGCGAGCGTTAAAACGATGCGTATATCATATGAAACAGATTTTTTTCTTTACATATGAAAAATGAGCGTTTCAATCGTCTATAGGAATTACACTATGTCATTCTAACCTTTGATTTGATCTATAGTCTTGTCTTCTAGCGTCAGAACATAAAGCATGTAACAATTGAACATTATTTGCATCTTAATATTAACTGAAAGAACAAACAGATTGAACTAGCTACACTCCTGAAATGATTCTGGCATATTTTACTATTTATCAAACCTTAGCTCTAACTGGAAATCGTGCCTGAGTGTTTAACTGATGTATTATTCTGATAAATAGAAGAAAAATTGACTGTATCTAGATAGTATATTCATATGGCAGTTCTCACTAAGCATACAACCACATGAAACACCCATCAAGTGGATCTAAGTGCAATACAGTTTACATTGTTAAACAGTATATTAACATCCATTTCCATCATGGAAAACAATGGGGAAAAAAATCAAATTTTGCCCAGTCATTTGCCTATCATAAGCTACGTTTTCAGCAAAAAACACAGTTCGACATAAAGGTAATGCATTCGAGAAGATGAAATCGGTATTATCGAATAAAATTCTCCCTCACAACTTAGCAAGGAAACTCTGGCAAAAACTCTTACTGTTAAAAAGGAGTCGTTTCAACCTTTTTTCAGTTCACGTTTTTGGAAATCGAAAAAAAATAGTCTTGGAAAGCAATATCTTTGAGAAACTTTTGTTTCCAAAATGATAGAACTGGTCGAGTTGAGCAAGAACAGATATGAATCTTTAAATAATATACTGAATAATTTATTTAACAAGGATTAATACATAGGATATTAATCCTAATAGAATAACAACATATTTGGCATAATAACAAGCATTATAACGGCAACTAGTAGACAGATAATTGTTCAAGATAAAATGGAAATGAAAAGGATTTTAGATTTTAGAAAAAGCGTTGAGAATTTCTTACAAACGTTTAAGGATTGCTACTATCATGTTTTCTGTTCTAGAGAGTTTATCAGAACCCAAACAGAAACAGATTATAATCTATTTTAATTGCAGAGACAGAAAAATTAGTATTAGAGTTACCGAATGAATTATTCCTCCACATTGGTTATTGACGAGTTACGAATATAGTGTATATTTTGCATAGTACAAGAAAAAATGACATGCTAATTCAGGTACATTGCAAAAAGTACAGTTCCGGATACTGCAGTTTCGTTTTTATTGGTTAGAACGCTGAATTCTATTCTCATGTGGCACATCACTATATTGGCGCATCTGTACCGATATCGTACCAAGCAGGTGATTTTAGACGATAAAAAGGATGAAGTTTGTATGCTGTTAAGAATATGCCTGTGTCACATATTTCTCTGAGTTCTTTCGGTAATTTATTCCGGATGCTGATTGAACTTGATAGAAACGCTTTATTTATGTAGTTCGTATTTGAATGACATCTCTTGGTTGTCTTGGAAAAAACACCGTCAACATAGTCATGATGAAAAATCACAACTCTACTAATGTGTAATATTTTGTAAGTTAACTAGACGATGGCTAAGCGCATACTATAGTGCAATCAATAGCTCTTGGCGAGATCTAGAATATTGCGATATAACACTCTAAATGAAAATACTTTCTTGATGAGATACAGACCAAACACTACCATAAATGCTTTGTCATACCCTTATTTTCATTTTTTCTTCAGCAAACCTTCTATCACAAATATTTGATTGAGTTGATGGTGCTCTTCCAAACCGCGATGATGAAAAAATCAACAAAGTTTGTGAATATGACGAAATTTTTGAAAAATAAGACTAACTAAAGAAAAGTAGTAGTATGTTGCCATTAGGCCTATGACAGTTTATAGTTCCTCGTACTGCAGTTTCTCAATAACGGGAACTGTTTTTTCAGTTCGCGTTCAATGAACGGGAACGGTTGTTCAGTTTCCGTTCCTGAACTAGAAATGATTCAGCAGTTCCAGTTCCTGCGAATGGGAACCACAGTTCTTTTTGAACTGGAAACTGGTCGGTATCCTTTAGTGATTTGTCGATATATTATGTATTTTATTTCACAAACATAAAATTTTGAAAAAGTGAGTAAAGAAAGAGATATGTCAAAGAGACTCCCAGATTAGGTGGTAGACTTTGCTGATTGATTTAGTTCGTTACTTCTTCGAAAAAATGTGGTATGTTATTAACACAAACAAGAAAAGCAAGGCCACCTTCACTTTAAACAAGTACGACTGTTAAACAAGAAATTTCTCTGTACTCAATAATATCTAAAACGAATTATGATTTATCGTTATTTTGGTTAGAATATGGTCACAGGCTACCATTAAAAAGTATCTAGCAATACCAGCTACAAGTGTTTTGTTTTCTAAAACTTTTCATGAAAAAAACTTTTTTCTCAGAAATGAGTCAGCAAACTTTTATATATATTATTTTCGGTTTAATTCATATCATACTGTCGGATGATCCGGTTCATTTTATGCAAGTTATTCAGGCTTTACGTCTACAGCATTTACCATTTCAAAGCATGACATTTGTTAAAGTAGACTATCATACGTCTATGACATACATATACACTGTTAAATATCTCGGAAGAATTATTGAGCTTAAGGTGATACGATATGGAAAATAAACAGTATCATGGATTAAATTACACGATTTTAATGATTTGAAAAAAGGAGGTACAAATAAATGTTGGATTAGAATTCTTCAATTTGAGTCGTAAAAGAAATAGAGTAGTAGTGTTTTGTAAACTTTCCTTTTGAAAAAACATCTGAGTGTGGCAGAAAAAGTTTACAAAATACTACTACTCTATTTCTTTTACGACTCAAATTGAAGAACTCTAATCCAACGTTTATAGTAGACGTCAAATTATGTCGTCGTAATTTGGACCTGGGGAATAGGGCATGTGTATACTCCTTTAATCTACCATATTACATGTGTTTTCTGCTTGATTCAAATCCTAAAGTTTGTGTGAATACTTCACGAACATTAGAGGTTTCTTTCTCATTCAAGTCGAAGACGTTTTTAAATCAACTCGCGGATAGGCATGCGGCGGTAACCGGTAAAATAAGGTAAACCGATAAATTACTGTTTCGTTGCATGGCTGCTCGTGGATATTTTTTTGGAAATTAGCTTAAAATGACAAAAAAAATTGCCGTACGTAAACACTTGTAAGTTTTTGAAATTTTTATTGTCTTAATACAAAAAAAATTACTCCATAGATTAGAGGCTTTGGCATTATAGTAAAACTGATAGAATAGCAATGAAAAATAGATAGTATATAAATAAGTGAAAGTACAAAAACAAATTTCACTTTTATTATGTTATACAAGAGACACCTGTTGCATATAGACTAATGTTTTTACCAAAGACATCGAAATTTTTTATTTAAATAAAACTCTTGAATGATTTATCATTCCCAAAAAGGTAGAAATTTATATTTTTGATCGTAGCGACGAATAAATGTTTGTAAATTGTTGTTTACTAAATTATATTTTTAGTAGTCGATTGTAGATCTGCATAAACAACTTTTCTCTGTCCACGGACAAACTGCATGCTTTGTCCATATGTTCTCATGGACAAATAAAAATCTCTGTTCAAATTTTGTTCATAAAGCGGACTATTTTTCATAAATAATTCTTAAAAACTGTGATATAGTTTCTTACTAGTAAGTAGAATATTTAAACCATTAGAAACATACCGCGATGTAAAGCATTGGATTGTGTGCATCGAATATTTTTAAACGTTTGTATACCCGTTCATGTCCACAGACAAATCACTAAAATCAGAGTTTGTCGATGGACAAGTCCATTTAGTGCAGATCTCCGCGATTGTAACTTATTTGTCTTGTTTCACTTTTGTCGAAGACTTTGAAATCGTATAAAAAAACTGGATACAGAGAAAAATGGGCATGTACTAGATGAATGTTAAGTGTTGTTGTTTTTATTTAGGAGAAGATAGATCGACGAAGACTACATGATGGTAGAAATGACATCAAACGGGTGCTTGTCACAATTTTCTCAGTGTTCATTCTTGCCATTACAATACTTTTCAATACTCGAGATCACATAAGACAATATCAATTAGCAGCGGTGGGAACCACAGGTATAAAATTGTTGACTTTGATTATTAGACTTGATTTTAAGAATCATTATTTAGCAATTTGTTATTAGAGGAGTTTACCAAAAGAAATCAAGAGCTTCTGCAACTGGGTTTTTTCATGGGTACTGATTATTCTTCGTCTCATTTCTAGTAAGAAAGATAGAATTTCAGAACACTGATGAAACTAACAATCGCCTGTTTGCCTTCCATCTTCACAAGAAATTTGAAGAAGTTTTTTTCTCCCTCATGTTGCTAATGCTGCTTCGTTATTTTGCTTTATCTATTCCTTTTTACTCAAGCATCTGAGGCAACAGTAAATCCATCACTGACTAGCACTCTTTTCACCTTTTCTATCGAACTGTCAACAAAAACAACTATCATCGATTCTCGTGAAACAGTGGTGCTACTCAACAGTATTGTAGCTGCAGCCACTTCAATCACAGCATCAGAGTTCATTCATTCAATGATTCGAACACCTCATGGTACACTTGAGGCTGATGCGAGTATGGTACTACCAAAAGAGCAGTCAACCAAATGGATTATAGGTCTTGGCATCGGATTATTTTTATTGATACTAGCTTTAATCAGTATCGATATTATTGTTCTAAGGCGCCGTCGATATTGTTTTTCCCGTGCATCACAG